ACGTGAGCACACACAACCATATGTGTTGAGGACATGGTAGACTGGAGGCTGACTTTCCTAGAGAACCGCAGTGTCTGACATGAGCTCTTGGCTCCTTTCTTGGGTGAGCAAACAAGAGGAGCCACTTAGGGGTTTAGCAGGATTGCAGAGTCTAGCCAGGCAAAGGATGAGTTACAGTGAAGAGCCAGCACGGGCTTGCTGGAGGTCTTGTCCAAAAGCGCCATCTAGGGAGATGAATGGCTCTCAGCAGAGGCTTTTCCCAACATGAAGTGACCAAGGAGAACCACATGCCATCCTCAGGAAGGAACCACAGCAGAGAGATGCCCAACTATGGGAGCGGCAGACTTCCCAAGAACCCAGAGCGTGCCCATAAGAAGCCATCCACTCTTCTAACACCTCCCGTGCTCAGAACAAGCACTGATCGCCTCGAAGCCACCCATCAGGAAAGACGCACCCGGCTTCTCCCGCCCCTCCTGTTCCAACCTGGAGACTCCAGAAACATCCATTAGCAAGCACTGATGGAGAGGAAGGTGTGGGTAGGGAAAGAAAGGATGACCCCAGGACTTTTCTGAGTGCAGGTCCCCCCAAGTCCCTTCCCTGAGCGCAGGGCACAGCTATGAATCTGGTTAATCTTCTAGGGAAAATCACAGAGCAAAAAATTGTTCATTTCTTGAAAGAACCAACTATGTCTTCCCAGTGCAGAACTCGTTATCGGTGTGTTAAGGAAGAGTTGGGCATTCCTTCATGAACTCAGCACACATCACTGTAAATGCAGGCTGTGCTGGCTGCATTCTGAGCTGTTTGGTGTAATGCACTGTGGGGTATGGTTTCCGTGGGTTTGTGGGGGGATGGACTCAATTCAGATTACATCAAGGCTTGTGTGGTATGGTAACATAGTAAAACTTCGCTCACCCTTTACAAGATCCAATAAACGATATCCTAGGCAAACAATGCTTGTTAAGTTTAATTTCTACCAGACCAATTTTTCATTCAATATGCTTCCTCTCTATAAAGTCGGCAAAGATGTCATCCTTGTGACTTGATTTTCCACCTGGTGCCTTAAATCATCCCAAAGGCATTTGCTTCACTACCTTTTCAAGGGTGGTGTCTCCATAGTTAGTGGCCAGGCTGTGCACAGGTTTCAAATAGTCAGAAGCTCCTTTTCAGAAGAGTGAACCAAGGACAGGGGCTTCGCTGGAGCCTGGTTGGTGTCCCACTGTGCCTCCGGCCCTGTCTCCACGGAGCCTCTTGCCTCTAGGGAGAGTTTCTAGCATGTGAGCATCTCAGCTGACACAACCCACCTCCTCTAGATCTCTTACTTCTGTGGCCAGCAAAGCTGAGGTCCTGACTCAGAAGCCTTACCCAAGTGTCATTCAACATAAAGAACCATTTTTTTTCTTTCTGCAGAGAAAAACGCTGAAAATTCCCTAACTTCCCATCATCTTTTCCAATCAACTGATGATCTCTAAGCTACAGCGCACTGGCCAATTTTGGTTTGACTGAAACCTAACATAGAAAAAAAAGATGAGTAAGATCTCCAACTGATTTTATTTCCCAGCACTTCCTGGAGTCAAAGTGATGGCATGTCTCTCTCTGACATGGCCTTTTCTCTCCCAGACCTATAGAATGTGTGGTCTGTCAGAGAGGGGAACTGTAACATACTCATAAGGACAAGGCCCACACAGGACCAGAGACAGAATGCCTGAGAAGCATAGCATCGCTGCGGGATCTTTGTCTGCCTCCCTGAAGCCTGCCTCACACTTTGAGGGGGCTGACGGGGTGGGCCACGTGGGAATGTTTGGCGAACGGGCACTGATCTTCCCTGAACATCACCCATCAGCGTACCCTCTGGGAGCACAGGGCAGAGCCCAGCGGAAGATGAGCACCGTGGGAAGAACAGGCAGGGGAAGCGGGGTGTCTGTCGGGTACAAGCATGCCTCATCTTTGCTGACCAGCTCTGATCATTTCTACTACCCGAAGCCAGGTACACAGGCTCATGCCTGTAACCTTAGCTCCTCAAGAGGCTAAGATCTGGTTTTGAAAATATCAGAATACATCAGGAGTATATGTACACATACTATGTGTACATTTATATACATTATGAATGCATATAAATGTTGTTTATATTTGTATATGTATTGTTTTACATAAATATAACTTTGAAAATGAGTGTCCAATTATGAATACGTGTGTGCACATTACAAAGGTATATAAATATTATACTCTAGATTATGTGGGCATCAGCTGACACCTACTCTGCCCCAGGAGTGGTCGTGCAGACAAGCCACGTGACCATTCTGGATGAGCAGAAGCAGCCCGTCCTGGAGGGCCCAGAGAGGCTTCAGTTACTTCTCTGGGTACCACCATCAATGACACCATCCCTGTGGGCAGAGTGCTGTAAGCGCCCACACTGGAAGATGGTAGAGAGTAAGTACCAGGCAGCCAACAGTCTCCACAGCAGAATGAAATGCTGTTTCGGGCTTAATGACTGCGGGAGGAAGGAGATAGTGTCACTGGTACCATGTGCAAATACACTTTGTGACTGCATGGATATACATACATGCATATACTTATCTATATATGCATATATATACATATACATATATATGCATATACACGCGCGCGTGCGCTTATGCAACTGATTGAGCCTGTGCAAAATGACACTGTATGTTTGTCATCTTTTTTTTTTTTGGCCAGTCCTGGGGCTTGAACTCAGGTCCCTGAGCCTCTCTATGCTCACTTGAGCCACAGCACCACTTCTGGCTTTTTCTGTTTATGTGGTACTGAGGGCTTCATGCATGTTAGGCAAGCACTCTACCACTAAGCCACATTCCCAACCCTCATCTTCTATTTTCTTCTACTTTGTTTCTAAACTCAGTAGAAATCCATCACTATCAGTTAAATCAACACTTGGGGCTAAAAGAGTGACCTCTTAATGCTGGGCAAAAGCACGCACACACACACACACACCTCATTTTAGATTTTCACATTTGATTTGAGTGCCCTAATACATTTGCAAGTAAGCCCAAAGCTTATTTGGGCAGAGCCATGGAAGTTGGAAAATCTTTTCCTCTACTCTCCCTTCGTCTCTAACAGTAAAGTGATAAAATGCAAAAAAAAAAAAAAACAAAAAACAAAAAAAAAACTTGAAAATTAACATAGCCCCCAATTGCCTAATTACTAGCTGTCGATTAGTTTTAAACTAACAATAGCAATGGTCATAGGTATACCTTGCCTATACCTGATAAAGGCATGCAATTTAGTTAGAAACCAATTTTGATTTTCCATCATTTTCTTTTAGGTATTTCTTGTAGTTTTGTTTTTGTTTTGTTAGTCATGGGGCTTGAACTCTGTCTGGGCGCTGTCCCCGAGCTCTTCAGCTCAAGGCTAGCACTCTACCACTTGAGTTACAGCACCACTTCTGGGTTCTAGTGGTTAACTGAAGTCTTACAGACTTTCCTGCCCGGGCTGGCTTTGAACTGCAATCCTCAGATTTGAGCCTCCTGAGTAGCTAGGATTACAGGAGTGAGCCAACAACACCCTAACGTGTTTGTGTATTTGGGGTGGGGGTGGAGGTAGATAGCATCTTGCTATGCATATGTAGCCCTGTCCTTGAACTCTTCATCATTCTGCCTCAAGATCCTAAGAGCTGAAATTATAGTCATGTACCACTCTACTTGGCAAACTATACACGTTTTAAAATTGACCTTACAAATTAAAAATATTGATCCCTAGAAAAGTTACCTCTAGAACCAGCTAAACCACAATGCTCAATTTGGTTATTACCTTAGATGATTTTTTTTTATTGGAGTTTTTTACATTTGTTAATTTGAACCTTCAAGCTTAAGACCTGACAATAAACTGTTTCCCCTCTGTATCTTTTCCTCTGTTTCTCCATCACTTTTGGGAGTTTTATAAGGGTTTTTTTTGTAGGTTGTGGGACTTGAACTCTGGGCCTGGGTGCTGTTCCTGAGTTCTTCAGCTCAAGGCAAGCACTCTACTACTTGAGTCACAGCACCACTTCTCATTTTCTGGTGGTTCACTGGAGGTAAGAATCTCACAGACTTTCCTGCACAGGCTGGCTTTGAACCACGATCCTCAGATCTCAGCCCCTTGAGTAGCTACAATTAGTCGTGAGCCACTGGGGGCCCTGCTGTCCATAAGGTTTTTTTCTTTCTTTTTTTTTGTCAGTTGTGGGGCCTGAACTCTGGGCCTGGGTACTGTCCATCAACTCTTCAGCTCAAGGCTAGCGCTCTACCACTTGAACCACAGCACCACTTCCAGCTTTTTCTGCTTATGTGGTGCTGAGGAATCAAACCCAGGGCCTCATGCATGTAAGGCAAGCGCTTCTACCACTGAGCCACCTTCCCAGCCCCATCCATAAGGTTTTTTCTTTTTCTTTTTTTTTTTTTTTTTTTGGGGGGGGGGGGGGTTGTCGTGGGGCTTGAACTCTGGGCTTGGGCGTTGTCCTTGTGCTCTTTAGCTCAAGGCCAGCGCTCTACCGCTTGAACCACAGCGCCACTTCTGGTTTTCTAGTAGTTTATTGGGGATAAGAGTCTCACGAACTTTTGAACCGCGATCCTCAGATCTCAGCTTCCTGAGTAGCTAGGATTATAGGCGTGAGCCACCGGTGCCCAGACATCCATTAGGTTTTCTACAGCCTTACATTTTCAATCATTTTCAGCAACAGTGAGTTCACACTCCTATTAAAACCCCAAACCTTGTACACAAGTCAGCGTAGGGGAGCATGGAGTGAGTTCAAATTACTTTGGAATTAACTTGCCAGAAAGAGCGTGGTTAAGGGCGCCAATGCCCACATCTCTGGAAGATTGTGCAGAGTATTAGTCATACTGTAGAAAATCAAAACTTTTAATGACTTGTGAGGAATAATTAAAAACAACAAAAAAATCGAGAGAAGACATCTATAGGAGACCATTTCCTAAGGAAGAAAGTAAAAAATTAAATGAAAAAAATTAAAGAAATGGAAAGAATAGACCACGTTAAGGATTATAAAAGTTATATTTATTCACGATGCTACATTTATTGCATTCCCTTAGAAAAATGGAGAACTGTTTATGTACCCAATTTGCACATATAAAACTTTATACAAATTATGTGTAGCACATAAAGGCCTCTGGTACAGCTAAAATCCTGACACTACAATTTGGGTATTCCTGCTTCAGGGTCTCCAGTTCATCAAGTCTGTTCCATAGAAATAAAAACTAGAACTATACTCAATCCTGCTAACACTTAGAAATTATGTTAAAATATAATAAAATAAAATTTGCATTTACCCTAAAAACTCAAAAATACTATCAACTAGGAGGGGATACATTCTGTTACCAATTTTAACAGTATGGTAAGGTCATACCTTAGTTTGGCTGATTCTTTCAAAATTTAAAAAAAAAAAAAAAATCACCTTAGTTCTGACATTATCTTTCTAAGTTGTGGCTGTGTGGGAAGGTCATTTGTCAAAATATTTACCAAATACTTAAAAAAAAATATTCCTTTTACAAAATGGTGTAATACTAAATGTCTTTGGCTATACAACTAAAAGGCCATCCGTCCAACAGAGGAGGGCGTCTTTACTCCAGAGCCAACTACAGAAAAGAAAGAAAGCGCAACAGATATATGCACAGAAATGATCATTTGCTTGTCTTTCCCCCTGTTCTACAAGAAGCAAGGAGAATGGAGTTTACATGATCTTTTGATGAGACTCAACAACATTACAAAGAAAATACCAACATTTCTGCAAAGGCAAAGGGAGTTAAAGCAATTCCACCACTAAGTGAGGAGGAGCAAAGGGACAAGCGCTATCTGCAATGTCATTACTTGTTTGCTTGTTTTTAAGCCACACAAGTGTAGAAATCATAGCTGATAACAAAAAGCCACAAACTTCACAAATGGAACTGTAATAGAAAAATAAATCAAATGAAACATTTATTAATAAATGAAGCCTATTTTATTACTTCAAGTTAATGATAAAAAAATTTTCAGCACAGCTGTTGCATTTAAAAAAGTGAAACTACATACTACGTTTCTAGCTCAGTAAACAGATGAACCTGATGTCTTTGAATGACATAACAATTCAGCATTGTACAGTACATCTTATGAAGACCCGTAAATTAAAGAACTACTAGTTTAAAGTTAGTGATTATGAAACAAATACGCATTCATAGTTTCAGCTTCTTTTTCCTCCCTCGACCATCAGGTGCTCCATCCATCTTACGTTTCTGTGTCTATAAACAAACACAAAGATTACTTCTCATGACAAGACATAGTAACCATGAAATATTCAGACACATGACTGCCCTTTATAGTGACTGCTAAGTACATTTTCCTCTCCAAGACATAATAAATCTTTCAAAATTAACTATCCAATCTCCAAATTTTACTAAGTTACAAGACAACTTTTTTCCCCTTAAAATGCTTGTCTTCACATTGCTAAGACAGAACTGAGCAGTAAATCACACTTTAGAAATCAATCTTAGAGGTTATAAAACTATTTCTGTCGTATTACGAAATAAATACTCTAAAATGATTGCATGTATTCCCAATGAGAAATGCATATCCTGACATTCTTAGGACATACTTTCCCAAACTTTTAGAAGCCCCTTATAAGATTTTCCCTATACAGTGCAATCAAGTTTTAATTTATACTTTTTTTTTGCAAAACAAAGAGGCTAATAATACACATGAAATCCATGAGTTTAACTACTTAAGAAAAAAATATATAGCTTATGTAATCTTAAAATCTTCACATATTCATGAACACTTACTGTAGGCTTTGGTCCGCGTTTCTTTTTCTCTGCCTTCTCTTTCTCTTCTAGTTCCATGTTTTCTCTTTCAATCAAGGTAATAAGGGTATTACACCTCCTCTGCAGTTCCTGCATTACAAATATCCACAGTAAACTTGTACCTGCCATTTGCCTGTGGTCAGGATTTCAATGTCTAAACAAGACTATGCTTTACTAGAAAGAAAGGTATATTATAAACAAGTTTTCATTGTTTGTTATTGCTGAAGCTGTTTTCACACCAAGTTCTGCAGTTAGGTAATCTAAATATAACTATATACATTTTCCCACAAAAAATTCAGCATAACTAGAACTGCTCTAAGCTAATGTAAATGACATCCTCAGTTAAAAATGTAGCCGGTGCCAGTGGCTCACACCTGTAACCCTAGCTACTCAAGAGGCTGAGATCTGAGGATTGTGGTTCAAAGCCAGCCCCAGCAGGAAAGTCTGTGAGACTCTCATCTCCAATAAACTACTCAGAAAAAGTCAAAAGAGACACTGTGGCTCAAGGGCAAGAGCAATAGCCTTGAGTACAAAGAGGCTCAGGGACAGCACCTAGGATCTGAGTTCAAGCCCCAGGCCAGGCAAAAAATTAAAAAAAGAAAATACCATACACAACTCATTAAATATCTGAAATAATAATATAGAAGGTAATAACATCTAATTAGTTTCCCTTACTGGGCTACTGATAGGCTAAAGTATAGTTTTCACTTTCAGAGCCCTGTATGTTAATGACTTTCTCTAAAAAGGATATCAAAAAACAATATCAGTCGTCAAACACAAAAACACTGTACTCCATCCATTGCTGTGTTGTGTGACAATAAAAGGCACTGAGAACTATAGAAATATTGGAAGACTTGCCATCCCAGTATGTCCAAACCTAACACTAGAAAATCTCTACATTTTCATCATCTTGCACAATCTAGGAGTTTAAGAAATTCAAAACTGCTCAACTACTGAAGGAAAAGAGCCATCTCTTTTTTAGACACAAATGGGATCAACAAAACCCAGAGTTAGATCTCCACCAGGCCAATTGCTTCTCCATATTGGCCACTTAAAAGCACACTCACAAACTAATAAAATGCTAAAAACTAGCAATGCTACAAGTACATGGCATTAATGGATGGGACTAACAAATAAGCTTTTTAAGTTACGTAGGTGTTAGGTTTGCAAGCTGTGGATATGAGTTACTTTTCTAAAAAAGTTTACAATTTCTGCTATCACCTCGAAGTTAAAAAGTAAAGGATATGTATTCTGAGGAGCTGGGAAGGTGGCTCAGGGGTAGACTGCTTGCCTTGCATGCATACGGCCCTGGGTCAATTCCTGAGCACCACATAAGCAGAAAAAAGCCAGAAGTGATGCTGTGGCTCAAGTGGTAGAGCGCCAGCCTTGAGCTGAAGCGCTGAGGAACAGCACCCATGCCCAGGCCCAGAGTTCAGGCCCATAAAAAACAAAAAAAAAGAAAAGAAAAGAAAATTATATTCTGAATTCTGCTCTATTACACAAAAACACAAATGAAAACTCACCATTGCAGTTCTGGACTTAAGAAACCAATCAAATCTGAACTGAGGGGAGTTTCGAATACACTGTCGCAATTCATCATAAACATTTTCCTTGTCAAATCCGAGTTTGTGAAGCATGCAGATGAGAAATCGATCCTCTTCTTCAGTGTAGTTTTTTCCTTTGTTAGTGCCATACGATATTCTCAGCTGATGAAAAGGTGCTTTGTACCGGCCAATCTACGGAAGTCAGACTTGTTAAACTATAAATATCATCAGAATATTCTGTCCGAGAATCTCAATTGTACTTCTCCTATCAAACTCTGATGGTGTTTATCATTTTCTAGAGAATATAAACTCAGACCACCTTCCTGATGTTACTTAGGAAGGACTAAGCTAAGTGTCTGTGACTCAGTATCAGTCAATTCACAGGCTCTTTAACAGTTAATCATTTTTCTCTGAAAAAATTTTAAATTCTCATTTCTTTTAAAAGTTACTTTAGGAGGATGGGAATGTAGCTTAGTGGTAGAGTGCTTGCCTAGCATGCATGAAGCCCTGGGTTCTATTCCTCAGTACCAGAAAAGGACAGAAGCAGCACTGTGGATCAAAATCTCAAGTGGTAAGAGTGCCAGCCTTGAGCACAAAGAGGCTCAGGGACAGAATCCAGGCCCTGAGTTCAAGCCCCATGACTGGCCAAAAAAAGTTACTTTACGCCACACATTTGTGACTTGCATGTATAATCCTAGCTTGCTCAGTAGGCTGAGTGAGATATGAAGATCATGGTTCAAACTCAGTCTAGGCAGACAAATCTGAGAAACTCATCTCTAAAATACCACAGAAAAAGACAAGTGGAGGTGTAGCTCAAGTGGCAAAGTGCCAGTCTTGAGCGAAAAGGTAAAGAACAAAATCAGACCAAGTTAAAGTCCCAGTACCAACACCCCTCCTACCCTAAAAAAGTTACTGCAACTCATATTCACAGATAGGAGTTAGGACAGTAACCATCATACTTATTAATATAGTACCAACTGTACCTTTGTATCAAGTGCTTTTTTGATACTTATTCTTCTTTGGATTCTTGCCTCTCCCCTCTCTATCTGAGCCATAATCTTCTCTATGTCCTGGAGCTCATTGCATCTTTCCCAGAACACAGCTATGGAGGAAACGTTGGAGAGATGGAGGGAATGAAGGAGAACATTAAAACAAAAGCTTGCTGATACAGATATACATGTGTGTGTAATTGATTTGCAAAGGACTAAGAAAGATTTTCACTTATTCTACATTTAATAGCAGAAAGGAAGTAAGTCGCTTATAATGTTTCAGTTTTCTTTTTTTTTTTTTTTTTTGGTCGGTCGTGGGGCTTGAACTCTGGGCCTGGGCGCTGTCCCTCAGCTCTTCAGCTCAAGGCGAGCGCTCTACCACTTGAGCTACAGCACCACTTCCGGTTTTCTGGTGGTTTATTGGAGATAGGAGTCTCACAGTCTTTCCTGCCCGGGCTAGCTTTGAACCACGATCCTCAGATCTCAGTCTCCTGAGTAGCTAGGATTACAGGCATGAGCCACCAGTGCCCAGCTTTGTTTCAGTTTTCTTAAATGTGAGAAAACAATTCTGCGTGTTAAAAGTTTTCTTCCACTTCTTAAATATTGCTACTCTAAGATTTTGTACATTCTTACCACAGCATAAACTACACATATTCAGTATGAAACAAAAATTGAAGTGCCACTGTGCAATGACCTATTATGGGTTTTGTGGCTATAGTTAGTTGATCTAAACAACAACAACAACAACAACAAATCTAGCCAGGTGCCTGTGGTTCACACCTTTAATCTTAGATACTGTGATTGTGACTCAAAAAAGTTTGAAACTCTTACCAAAAAATCTGTGAAACTATCTTCAACTAATCAGCAGTAAAGGTACACTAAGATATGGCTTAGAACCACCAGCCATGAGAAAAAAGCCAACTGAAAACTGAGCACTGGTGGCTCACGCCTGTCATCCTAGCCACTCCGGAGGCTGAGATCTGAGGACCACGGTTCAAAGCCAGCCCAGGCAGAAAACTTTGTGAGACTCTTATCTCCAATTAACCAGCAAAAACCTAGAAACAGAGGTGTGACTCAATTGGCAGAGCATGAGCCTTGAGCAAAAAGGCCAAGCAAAGTTCAAGACCGCGAGTTTGCCTGTGCCAGCATGCTGCACATACATGAACGTGGATGCACACGCACATGTGCGCGCGCCCACACACACAGTATTTTTAAATAAAAACAATTAGGTCATATCTTAATGAACATACCAGGCTACACCATAATCAGCTGAGATAAAGAAGAAGCTTCTACAACTGATATTCTCCAAAGGCCTAATAACACTTTTGTTCATTCAATTAATAGAAGTATTACCTGAGTATTCAATGACTTCTTCTGGAGTTTTCCCTTCCACTTCTCTGGCTATGTTTTCAATATCATCACGGCCCCACTTCTCATTGGCTTTGATAAACTGGTTAAAATCTCTCTTATTCCAATTAGTAAATCCCTACAGAGCAATGAATAAAACCATCACAGCATGTTACACTTGGAAACAAAGCCATTACACTTTACCTATGCATTTGAAAATTACAGATAAAGTTTCAACTGCTCCTACTTCAATTAAGTTCTTTTTACAGCGGTTAACTTACTTGTACAGATACACACTTTTACCAACACTTTGTGTTTACTAAAAGAAATACTATTCGATGTGAGGGAGTAAGGCGCAGGTGGCATTTTTTCTGAGCTCTGACGTAGACGGGGAGTTTTTAAGGAAGGGTCATCATAAGCTGAAGAGCAGAGATGCCCAGAGAGACACGAGAGCAGAAAGCTCCAACAGGGGGTCACAAGCTGGATTTGGAAAGGCTCCGAATGAACCCTGAAGGCTGACAAACAGCACCATGAAGATATCTGTCATGGGAAACATTCCGGGAAAGATGCGAACACTGAAAAGAAGGTCTGGAAAAATAAACCCTCCACCAACGACTAATCTAGAATCTTCTCAACCATGTTGGCAAGTTAACTAACCAAACAATTCAATCATGGTTTACCATCTTCAATCAGTCTGTATTTTCCCTCAACAGGGTCTTTTTTTTATGTTTTGTCAGTTGTGGGGCTTGTTAGGCACTGTCCCTGAGCTCTTTGCTCCAGGATGGTGCTCTATCACTATAAGCCACAGCACCTTCAGGTCTTCTGGTGGTTAACTGGAAGACTTTCCTGCCCAGGCTGGCTTTGAACATGCGATCCTCAGTTCTCAGCCTCCTGAGCAGCTATGATTACAGGTGTGAGCCACCATCACCCGACTCTCACAGTGCTTCTTGCATGGTAGGCAAATGCTCTACTATTGAGCTACGGAACCTTCAGTAACTGTTCTTTGAAAGTAGAAAGTTGTATGTACCAATACAACCTTAAACAGCAATTTACAAAATAACTGTTTGCAACTGTGTTGATTGCAGCCTATACCTGTGTCAAAAGCTTCTCTTTTTCTTCTAATTCTTCATCATTAAGTGGTTCTGCTTCATCGATTTTGAGCTGTTCTTCCTTCTGGGCCTGGGCTGCATTAGGTAGGTCAGGACTTCGAGGTACCTAAGAGAGATGCCATCAATCAGCACATTTAAAGGACACATAATAGATTAACAGATTTCTCCTCAGGAGAAAGGGTATTGGCTCTACCCTAGTTTTATATGTTTAATATATGAAATTGGTTTTCATTAAAAAACATAAAGTGTAGAATTTCACTTACCTTGTACCCAATAGTTTTTCTGTAATACAGAATTTCTTTTTCCAATAATTCAAATAAACGGGGGGGAAAGAACTGGAAATCCTGAACATTGGGTTGTTTTGGAGGTCTAGGAGCCTAAGAAAAAATAAAACACAGTATTGTCCATTAAAATATAAGCAACAAAAAACCCTCACCCTACTTGCATTTGTCATTTCATAAGCCATGACAGCCAATTTTTAAGGAAGTGAAAGCATAGCTCAGTAATGCTGAACCAAAAGAGCAAAAGGATCACCCCAAAGAACTTTTCAGTATTTAAATAATAATGGAAGGGGAATCTGTACAAAAACACACAGAATGTAAGTCTCAATCTTCCTTTGTTGTAACAATGTACGAACAAGCATCAGCTCACCTTGGGTGCTTTCGGTTCACTGACTCGAAGCGCTTCCCTGAAATAGGCATCGACAGCGTAGTTAGCCTTCCTCTCTCGTTTAGGAGGTTCAATCCACTCTGTGAATGCAATCTAGCAGTGGGAAACAAGTGGAATGGCCACTGTTCATTATATACGGTAACAAATGTTTAGGGCACATGATGGGCCTAAGTAAGGTACCGATGAAACCCTGACGTCAGGCAAAGGCAGTACAAAAGTCGGGACTACCTTTTGCACCAGAGAATAATTCTGTTGGACAAGGTGAAAATACTACAAGATGCAGGTATGTTTAATCCAGAAAAAAAAAAAAAATCTGAGGACATACTTATCAATGTTAACCAGAAAAACTCTACAGAGAATTACACTTTTCTTCTTTTTTATTGACATGTCCTAATTTCTTTCCACATTGGCATGTAGTATTAGCGAAATTAGAAAAAAATTGTCTTAATCCCTACCAATTCTGTTAAATAAAATTCAATTTGTGACATTTTTCTTGATTTTCATTTTCAAGTATCTCAAATTATACTCACTGTACACAAGAAGGTATGTTACAGTATACAATAAACTTAACTGCATAAACTTAAAAATAAAAAATTCAAAGCCGGACGCTGGTGGCTGTAATCCTAGCTACTCAGGAGACTGAGATCTGAGGATTGCAGTTCAAAGCCAGACTGGGCAGGAAAGTCCATGAAAGTCATCTCCAATAAGCCACCAGAAAACCAGAAGTGGTGCTGTAGCTCAAGTGGTAGAGCACTAGCCTTGAGCTGAAGAGCTGAGGGACAGCGCCCAGGCCCAGAGTTCAAGCCCCACGGTTGACAAAAAAAAAAATTCAAGCCAGAAGCTGGTGGCTCACACCTATAACCCTAGCTACTCTGGACTTAAGATCTGAGGATCAGGGTCTGAAGCCAGCTTGGGCAGGAGAATCCATGAGACTCCAAATAACTACTCAGAAAAGGCTAGAAGTAGTATTATGGCTCAAATGGTAGAGTGCTAACCTTGAAGAAGCTCAGGGACAGTGACCAAGCCCTGAGTTCAACCCCCAGGACAGATGCACATGTGTGTACACACATGCACACGTAGCGCACATGCACGCGCACACTCACACACACATACACATGCACACACTATCAGAGCTTACCACACAGAAAGTTAAAAAATTAGATATGAACCAACAGAACTGTTACTTAAGACAAAATTACAAAGCACTGAAAAACAAAATTCCAAGCTTTCAGCAATATATAGCATAGGTAATTAAATCCTCATTCTGCAATACCTTTTGTTTTTCTCTGTAGTCTTCCCCCTCAAAGTTATAAACACTTGACTCAGTGTCCATTGTGAAGTTCCTAAGGGAGCTTTCACCCATCTTGGAGAGCTTTTCATTCATTTCTGCAGTCTGAATTGAAGACAAAATGAAGAGCATGAGATCTGTAATCAAGACAAACTAAGATTTCACAGTACATACAAAAGCTTTCTTTAGAGGAGGACTATGGGCAGATAACCCACACCACAGGTCTAGTGGGAAGTGTGTGTTCAGCCTGCAGCTCACCTTCTTTGCACCTCTTTCCAGAATGCCATCGATGTCCTCGTCAGTGATTTCACTCTCTTTTGAGGCAAATACATGAGTGGCTCCATGTCGTATCATTTGAAGCATTTCATCTTTCCCGATTTTGTTCAGATTCTGATCTACAAGCCTCCCTGAAAAAGATGGTGTTAACAATATCATTTTACTGGAAGCATGGAAATCTTCAATGTTAGATGTTAATTCACTTCAGATCATTTTCTTATTTATTAACTTGTTAATGCCAAATTTTCATCTTAGGCATTATTTATTTTAATGTATATCAGCTTGCTAAAATGTTTTGTGAAAGGTAAACATAATATCTGAGATATTGGGGAAAAAATTTCAGCATATATGAAGCATTACAAACACAGTAACTCATTTCTGGTGAGCAGAAGATCCACTCCTAATCTTCTTAAGTCAGTTTTTCTTTACACTGCCAGGAGCTGGGGTAGCTCATGCCTGTATTCCTGGCTACTCAGGAAAAGCTGAGAGGATTTTGGTTTGAAGATGGGCTGAGGAGAAAACTCTGAAGACTTTTACCTTGAATGAACCAGCAAAAAGCCAGATGTGGCTCACGTGATGGAACCAAGAGCCTTGAGGGAAGAAAGGTAGGAGTGGGAGAGCAGCATTCCAGCCCAGTCCACACACGCACACACACGCATGCACGCTGAGTGTCCCCCAAAAACAAAAGAATAACAACAATAGCAAAGTTCAAAGCATTACCTTGCTGAATAACTATTGAGTCCAGTCTGAGTTTCATCTCGGCACGTTCCACGATTCTTTCTTCCACTGTGTTATCTGTTATAAAGCGGAACACTCTGACTGTCTTCGTCTGTCCAATTCTGTGAGCTCGGTCCTAAGTGATTTACCATGTTATTTTGAATACAGTGAAAAAGTCAAATAATAGACAAATGTGTACACTGACAAAATTTAAATATTCTTCAAGTTTTTCAAATATGTCTGAGCAACTTATAATAAGATTTTGATATTCCTTAAAATTCTTGGTCAAGGCCGGGCGTCAGTGGCTCACGCCTGTAATCCTAGCTACTCAGGAGGCTGAGATCTCAGGATCACAGTTCAAAGCCAGTCCAGCCAGGAAAGTCCATGAGGCTCTTTTTTTTTTTTTTTTTTTTTTTTTGGGGGGGGGGGGGGGAGGGTCCAGTCGTGGGGCCTGAACTCTGAGCCTGGGCGCTATCCCTCAGCTCTTCAGCTCAAGGCTAGCGCGCTACCACTTGAGCCACAGTGCCACTTCCAACTTTTTTTTCCTGCTTATGTGGTGCTGAGGAATCGAACCCAGGGCCTCATGCATGCAAGGCAAGCGCTCTTCCACTGAGCCATCTTCCCAGGCCCTCTATGGGACTCTTATCGCCAATGAACCACCAGAAAACCAGAAGTGACACTGTGGCTCAAATGGTATAATGCTAGCCTTGAGCTGAAGAGCTAAGGGACAGTGTCCAGACTTCAAGTTCAAGGCTCATGACAGACCAAAAAAAAAAAAAAGGTCAAAGTAATTGGTTTTCTCACAGGGAAAACTTCTATAAAACACATCAGAATATAATCTTTCAGAAACCATCACATAAATGATAAAACTATCCAGATAATACAAGCAAAATTCTAAGTTTGATGATAAATGATAGTCTAGAATCTCTTAGGTTTAAATTCAAAGCATGTTTCTATCTAAATCAAGTCTTAATTTCCATTTATTAGGGAAAGAAGTGACCTAAAAATAAGTTCCACAAACTACAACAATCAATCCTAGTCATTTGCTTACATGTGTGAAAATTCAACAATGGACCATTCAGAAGCAGTTGAGGGGGAAAGCAGGAGGCAGCAGAGGGGTGAGGGGTGAGGGGGATGGCTGCGATGTGACATGTGGTAAGTCACAGTGAAGCCCTTGTACAAATAATACAGGATAATCAAAACTGCAATTAAAAGTGCTAATCTTTAACTTCACACAGTCAACTAAATATAAGCAATCAAGATATTTTGGATGCATTTGTATTTGCCTTCTGGGTAAAAGCACAAAACCACATTCCTATCAAACACTGTTCTAATAATGTCAATTTTGCTAGCTGCCCTTACAAAGAGTTTAACATGAAAGTAACTAATATGAAGTTTCAATAAAATTGCATTTATGGACACTAGTATCATTCTTCATGTTAGTGGTGCCATACCTAAGAATGGGTGCCTCTTCACGCTAGTTTATGGGTCATATGTAAGAATCACCTTCCTGAGCTAATCGGATGTTCCCCAAAGGCCATGAATTTTAAGCTTCCCAAATGGTAGAGATCAAACCATTTCCCTTTTCTCCTAGAACAGAACTATACACTCATTTTAGCAGTGTCCTTCCAATCAACTACATTTCTGTTCTGGCCAATCAATCTGAGACTGCTTTGAGATCTAATCCATTAAACATTTCCTTGGCAAGCCTTATTTTTCTCAGAATGTAGAGGCTGTGGAAGGCTCTGGGTTTTGAGAGCCATAAAATGGACATAACTTGATTCAGAGAAGAAAATGGTGTTCAAGGGCTGGGAATGTGGCCTAGTAATAGAATGCTTCCTTAGCATGCATGAAGCTCTAGGTTCGATTCCCCAGTACCACATAAACAGAAAAAGCTGGAAGTGGCACTGTGGCTCAAATGGTAGAGTGCTAGCCAAAGAATCACAGGGACAGTGCCCAGGCCCTGAGTTCAAAGAACTGGCAAAAAAAAAAAAAAGGTGTTCAACATACCCTCACTGAGCCATTAGGTCTGTAAATATAAATTTAGTAGAAGTTAGAAGTACACCACTATAACTTCATAAGTGGAAATGTAACCCTGCAAAATTATTTTGCCTGAAAATAACAAAATAACATCTACTAAGCACAGATTAAATTTCTTTATTTCTTACCATCGCCTGGAGATCCACTTGGGGATTCCAATCTGAATCATATAAAATGACCACATCAGCAGTAGCAAGATTGATGCCAAGGCCACCAGCACGCGTGCTTAACATGAAAACAAACTTGGTACTGTTTGGTTCATTGTACGCGATGATGGAATCCTACGGATATAAAGCAAGACAAGTGTCAAAGTGATTTTAGTTTTGTTTTGTGAGATGGGGTCTCATGCTGCCCAGGATGGCCTCAAACTCTTGCTTGAGCCTCCCAAGTAGCTGGGACTCAGGAGGCACACCACGGTGCTCAGCATAGAGAAATATTTCACCTGGCTTGGTTTTGTCTTTCTTCCCTCGCATTTTACTCACCTGTCTTTCATCATGGGGTGTCTGTCCATCCAACCTACAGTACTCATAATTTCTCCACATGCAATAATCTTCCAAAATGTCTAGTACTCTTGTCATTTGACTGAAGATTAATACTCGCGAACCTGTTAATATAGAAGCCTATCATGAGAAGCTCCCAAAGTAGAAAAATTCAAACTAAGATTAATACGTTATCCTTTAATTCTAGGTTACTTTGCAAAGAAAAAAAATGGCATTATTAATGTCACACAAATCAATCATTACCCACTACTTTTCCATCATGGCATAAATAGAAAAGGAATGGTCATCCAGTCCTCTCAAGCAGATAGAAAGGACTCCATCTCTCCTATGGCAACCTGAGAGAATCATTCGCTTGTTAGCTCACACATTTTCTATCACCTGACCAAAACTCTTTCATGCATATCATTCCCTACATCTCCAATGCACATTCTGGTTCTGGAGACACAATCCAACTTGAAGGACCACAAATGTATTTTATGTAGATATATATGGATAGATAGATTTTTTTTTTTTTGGTCGGTCATGGGGCTTGAATTCTGGGCCTGGGCGCTGTCCCTCAGCTCTTCAGCTCAAGGCTAGAGCTCTACCATTTGAGCCACAGTGCCACTTCCAGTTTTCTAGTGGTATTTATTGGAGATAGGAGACTCACGGTATTTCCTGCCCAGGCTGGCTTTGAACCATGATCCTCAAATCTCAGCCTCCTGAGTAGTAAGGATTACAGGCGTGAGCCACCGGTGCCCGGCTCGTATTTTATATTTTAAAGCCCTCCACTTCTCTGACCTCACACTTACAATAAAATTAAATTTAAAAAAAAAAAAAGCCTTTCACGTAAGGCCTGAGCACTGTCTCTGAGCTTCTTTTGCTCAAGGTGAGCGCTCTACCACTTGAGCCACAGCACCACTTCCAGCTTTTTCTGTGTATGTGGTGCTGAGGAATCAAACCCAGGGCATCATGCATGCAAGGCAAGCACTCTACCACTGAGCCACTTTCCCAGCCCCAAGCCTTCAGAATGCTTGAAGATGAAGGGATCAAATAGCTACTTGTCAATTGATCCTCTCTCAATCTCCGGTCACACATTCACACACCTGAATGCATGAGGAGTCGAGTGTCCACTCTCCCTATAGTTTAATACAGCTTTCAATAAAATCTAGGCATTGCTACCAAGTTCCTGCCACTCTTTCCCATAAAATCCATTTCTTTAATTATTGAGCTTTCAAAGAAAGCATCAGAAAATATACTTTTCACAAAAAAGTTATAAAAATCAGGTGGTTGTAGCGTGATAGAGCACCTGTCTAGCAAGTCTGAGGACTACAGTCCCTGTCATCAGAAAGAGAAAAAAAATTCACCAATAATCTTTATATTTTTGACAAGTCATTATCAAAGGAAACCATCTCGGACAATTACCTTTCCAACCCAAATAATACATAGAAACACAAATGGAGAAATATGAAACCCAACTGTATTCTATTCTTAATATGGAATCACTACAATTTTGCAGAAGTGTTTTTCTTTTCTTTTTTTTTTTTGTCGGTCTTGGGGCTTGATCTCTGGGCCTGAGCACTGTCCCTCAGCTCTTCAGGTCAAGGCTAGCGCGCTATCACTTGAGCTACAGGGCCACTTCCGGTTTTCTGTGTGGTTTATTGGAGATAAGAGTTTCACTTTCCTGCCAGGGCTGGCTTTGAACAGCGATCCTCAGATCTCAGCCTCCTGAGTAGCTAGGATTACAGGCCTGAGCCACCAGCACCCAGCTCTTTTTTGCTGTTGTTGTTGATTGCGGGGCTTGAACTCTGGGCCTGGGTGCTGTTCAGCTGAAAGCAAACATCCTATCACTTAAGCCACAGTACCACTTCCCATTTTCTGGAGATAAGACTCTCATGGACTTTCCTCCTCCGTCTGGCTTTGAACCGTGATCCTCAGATCTCAGCCTCCTGAGTAGCTAGGATTATAGGCGTTAAGCCACCAGCGTGCAGCCGAAGTGTTATTTCTTAAGAGCCATATAATAAACAATTTATGAGATACTGCAATGTTTAGGGTACATTTTGAATGCTCTAGAAGGAAAGGTGTAGCATAACAAGTTTTATTGTTAATGCTGAAGCTGTCTTCACACTAAGTTCTGCAGTTAGGTAATCTAAATATAGCTATGCATGTTTTCACACAAAAAATTCAGCATAACTAGAATGTTTCTAAGCTCATGTAAATGACATTCAGTTAAAAATTTAATTGGAAAACACCCTGAACAACAACAAAAAAACCACCATTATCCAACAAAGCATATGATATCCATTATTGATATTAAAAAAAAACACATGAAACTTCTCAAAAAGCTTATATAAAATGAGAATTTGTCCCTAAATCTAGGGACTTTGGCTGTTGTCACTATTTATTACCTTCTAAAAGATTTAAGGCCAAGCCAGTGTAGGTGGCTCACACCTGTAATCCGAGCTACTCAGGAGGCTGAGATCTGAGGATCGCGGTTCAAAGCCAGACTGAACAGGAAAGTCCATGAGACTCTTATCTCCAATAAACCACCAGAAAACCGGAAGTGGCACTGTGGCTCAAGTGGTAGAGTGCTAGCCTTGAGCTGAAGAGCTCAGGGACAGTGTCACGTCCAGGCCCAGAATTCAAGCCCCAGGACCAACCAAAAAAAAAAAAAAAAGACTTAAGGCCTAAAATTAGGATAGAGGTGGTTAGTCAAAATGTATCTAATATGGTTTTGTGGGGTTTTTGGGTTTTTTTTTTTTTGTCAGTCCTGGAGATTAAACTCAGGGACTTCCACTTGTTCATCTAGCACTCTAACACCTGTACCATCCTGCCTTGATAGACTTCAGATATCAACCTCCCAATCACAGCCTCCAGTGTAGCTGGGAATATAGATTGTTAATGTTTCACACTTCAACATTAGAAAGTGGAAGAGCAGTCATTTCAAAGTACTGTGTTCCTTGTTAACACTAGAACTATTAGTCTTCATTACTTCTCAATTTGATACCAATACCACAGATACATACCTTGTTCTTTTAATTTGGGGAGCAACTTGTCTAGTACCACCATTTTGCCACTGTTGGTAACCAGATGCATATCTGTTGTGTAAGGTGGACCAGGTTCAGCTCCATCGAAGAGGTATGGGTGATTACAGCACTTCCTCAACTGCATTAAGATATTCAATAACCTCATTTTATCCATCTTTCCTGCTGAGTTTAGTATGTCTATATCCTTCATTAATATCCGAGTATACCTATTGATAAGAAAAGTATTTTTAAGAGGACACAAATGTTCCCTGACCATTCTCTGTCACTTTATATACTGAATCCCTCTCCCCATCTGAGCCCACAAATAGCTATAATGAAAAAATTATGAAATGCTGTAATTCCGGGATTGGCTTCAAGTGATCTAAGAGGAAAAAAAGTTTTCCATGACACTGGTGTGATTGAAAATGTTACCTACTGATGCTTACCTTACAGGTAAGCAATTATGACTGTCACACACCAGGTGGTCTGTGAGATTTCTCTCCAACTACCCAACCACGAGGCCAGTTGAAGCTCAACTGGTAGATCACCAGCTTTGAGTGAAAAAGCCAAGCAAGAGTAAGAAGTTCTAAGTTCAAGCACTAGTATAATACTGGCCCCAAAAATAAGTAAATAAATACAAATAAAGTTAAAATCCCAAATTGAGTTCTCTTACAGCTTGATATATTGCATCTTAAATTTAATTTTTAGATTCATGACTCCATAAATTCACCATACTTCCATCCTATATATTCCATTCAAGACTCTGTGAATGTGATGGCTAAGCCCTAAGTCACTCTAATATTCAGCTCAATTCAGCCAACAGGAATTCCGTGAAAACACAAATTAGAAAATACCATATAAATCAGCATGTGGTTCAAGTGGCACACAGCCTACTTGCCTGTCTAGTAGTAGGCCCTAGACCCTCAGTTCAAACACCAGTACTAATCAATTATTGGTAAAATGAAAATTAGAAAACAGTAATATCAGGGGCTGGAAAGGTGGCTCAGTGGTAGGGTGCTTGCCTTGCATGCATCAGGCCCTGGGTTCGATTCCTCAGCACCACATAAGCAAAAAGAAAAAAAAAAGCCAGAAGTGGCACTGTGGCTCAAGTGGTAGAGCGCTAGCCTTGAGTTGAAGAGCTGAGGGACAGAGCCCAGGCCCAGAGTTCAGGCCCCATGACCGGACCTAAAAAAAAAAAAAAAAAAAAAGAAAAAAGAAAAAAGGAAAGAAAATAGTAATATCAAACATCTCAGAACACATACCATTCCCTTTGCATTTTGCTGAGACCTACGTAGATTTTGACTTCCTTCTTTGGAGGTAAACTCTTTTCCACATCAGCCTTAATTCGACGAAGAAGAAATGGACGCAAAACCTTGAGGAAAATAGAAAGTAACAGACATAACCTTATGTGTAATGTTGATATTATTTCAAAAATCTTAAAATCTTGTGTTAAATACACGGAAAAGAAATTTCTCTGCTTAAATATTAAATGACATTTAAGACTTCTCCATTTCAAATTTCTGATTTGTTATTGAACACCCAGAAAGTAATAATACAATTAAGCTTACTCTCACAAAATATTAGAAATGATACACTTCGAATGTTTTCAGAATTAGAATGTTACTTGCACATAGACTTTGTGATAACGCTTCAGAAATGGCTAGGTAATTACAATCTTTTTTCTTCCCACCCCTGAAGACTTATCCAGACCAAAATATCAACAGACACCAAAGTCCCTGCTGTAGGTAATGAAAGAACCTTATATAAGGTAGTTGGTAAGGTTCTGCTTCATACTCCTGAAGAAGGGTATCGGTATCTCAAGCATAGTAAGATAAATTTCTCTAACAACTATTTTGTGTCAATTTTTAAAGGAAGGAATAAACAAAGCTATCTATCAAAGTAAAACCTACAGTATGGACCCCGTTACTAATTCAGCTATTTGTTGCTTCATATCCTGTCATTAGATTTGCAAACAATATGATCATTAGTCCTTTCCACAATGTTAGATTCATCTATGGAATCGAAATAACACTAAGCTTTAAAAAGCTGTCTAAAGTGCTGGGAATGTGACCTAGTGGTAGAGTGCTTGCCTAGCATGCATGAAGCCCTGGGTTCAATTCTCAGTACCACATACACAGAAAAAGCCAGAAGTGGTACTGTGGCTCAAGTGGTAGAGTGCAAATTTGAGCAAATGAAGCTCAGGGACAGTGCCCAGGCTTGAGTTCAAGCTCTAGGACTGGGGGGAAAAAAAACACAAAACACCAAACAAACAAAAAACTAATTAATCATTAAGTGACTCTTCCACCCTCCCACTGTACTTTTCCTGACAATTAACTTAAAATCCATCCCAGGTTTCAACAGTTAAAATCACCACACATCACTTCCCTACCCCATTTTACAATCAGTTAGATGGCAAAATGCAAACTGATCTGATGCTACAGTAAACATGCTTTTTTCTTTTTCTTTTTTTTTTTTTGGGTCCGGTCATGGAGCCCGAACTCTGGGCCTGGGCACTGTCCCTCAGCTCTTCAGCTCAAGGCTAGCACTCTACCCACTTGAGCCACAGCGGCACTTCCGGCTTTTTTCTTTTTGCTTATGTGGTGCTGAGGAATCGAACCCAGGGCCTCATGCATGCAAGGCAAGCGCTCTACCACTGAGCCACCTTCCCAGCCCCATGCTTTTTTCTTTTCTTTTCTTTTTTTTGTCAGTCGTGGGGCTTGAACTCTGGGCCTGGGCGCTGTCCTTCAGCTCTTCAGCTCAAGGCGAGCACTCTACCACTTGAGCTACAGCGCTACTTCCGGTTTTCTGGTGGTTTATTGGAGATAGGAGTCTCACGGTCTCTCCTGCCAGGGCTGGCTTTGAACTGTGATCTTCAGATCTCAGCCTCCTGAGTAGCTATGATTACAGGCGTGAGCCACCAGCGCCCGGCTCCCATGCTTCTTTCTTAACTGGAAAATAACCTACTTATTTAAATCTCAACTTCCTTCCTATTAGAATGTATTGGATACTGCTCCAAAACACTTACCATATGAAGCCTCTCAACTAGCTTCTGATCCCCAAGGCAGTTGTTGGTATCAAACCAGGAATCAAAGTCCTACATTAACAAAAAATATCTTAAGGTCAGAGATATTGATGACAAATGTCTGATAATACCAGTAATGAATGTAGGGTTGTGAAGTACAAAGACCACTTAGTCTAAGCCACTAATTTTTTCAGATTCTGATTATAAAACAATTATTTCCTAAGTATTTTACTCAAAAATATAAAGAAAGCACAAAGAAATTTTAAAAAAAACATAAAGATGACAGATTTCATAATAAAGGGTCTGAAAACGTTTAGTAGAAATAATTAAAATCCTCAATACAAGGTTTCGTGAACATTGCCAATTTTGATTAACAAAGGGAGGTAAAAGGCATTTAGTTAGTATTTGGATAGGATTTGAATAAAGACCATTTCCTTACCCTTACCTCAAACATTCAGTTTAAACCTTCCAATCTGACTAAATATCTTTGTGTATGTACTAGTTATTGGGGCTTGAATTTAGGACCTCACACTTCAGCTTAAGGCTGTCATTCTACCACTTGTGCCATACCTCCATTTTCAGCTTTTAGGTAGTTAACTAGAGGTGACAGTCTCACAATTCTCTTGCCCAGTGACCTTGAAACACAATCCTCAGACCTCAGCATTCTGAATAAGTAGGATTTAGGTATGTGCCTTAAGCATCTTTTTATAACACAAATTTCTGTTTTTTAAAAACATCCTTAAGCCAGGAGCAGTGGCTCACGCCTGTAATCCTAGCTACTCAGAAGGCTGAGATCTGAGGATCCTGGTTCAAAGCCAGTCTAGGCAGATTGGAGATTTTTATCTCCAATAAACTACCAGAAAACTGAAAGTGGCGCTGTGGCATTGTGGCAGCCCAAGCGATAGCCTTGAGCTGAAGAGCTGAGGGACAGCGCCCAGGCCCAGAGTTCAAGGCCCATGTCTGACAAAAAAAAAAAAAAAGATCCTTAATAAATCAAAATGAGTATCCTTCTAGAACTCACTTCTATACATGTACTAACATGGAGCTCTTCAAGTTTTCTGTATACACACTCCAGATGAGGAAATCAAGGCTCAACAATGAACTGTGGCCCAGCAAAATCCAATTACTAACATCACAGACTCTTGGTATACAAAGTGTATGTTCATTCATGTGACTAATAATTAAGTACTGCTACCAAATCTACTATGCAAATAATCTATAAAGAGACTACAATGTGAAAGAGGTTAGAAAGGTATTACCACATCTGAACTTCAAAACACAAGCATTGTGAAATTAGCAATTCACTTGCAAATGCTAGAAAAATAAGCAGTCTATCTTAAACCCTTACTTACAGAGTTAAGTCAACATGATTGTTAAGTAAGATCCCACTGTTCCAATGGAGAAAACTGATGTAACATACTAAACCCAAAGGCTCAAAAGTAAATTAACAGATTGCATCATCAAATTTAAGACCAGCCTTACTACACAGAAGCATGTAAAAATGAATGAACTAAAAAGGCAGACTATGTTCTACTATAAAAACAAATGGAATCAGGATGGATGTGCTAGTGCACACCTGTAATTCAGGTACACAGGAAACAGGTCAGTCTACAGGAAACAGGTTACAGCCAGTTAGGCAAAAAATTAGCAAAACCCTGTTCTCAACAAATAAGCAGTGTGACAATAAACAGCTATATAGTGAACAGCTATAGGCTGTCAGGCCAGGCCAGCCCTGAGCCAAAACACAAGATTACGTAAAACAACAATAAAAAACTAAAGCAGAAAGGGCAGGAAGCAAAGTTCAAATGGCAGAGTGCTAGTCTAGCAAACCCAATGTTGTGAGTTCTAACCATTTTTTTTCCTCTGAAGGAAAAAAAAGCAGAGAGCAAGATAAATCATTAAACAAAATAGAAAACTATTAGAAGTACTTACATCAGCTGAATTAAACACATCTGGTAACAAAAAATTCAGAAGTGACCACAGCTCATGTAAGTTATTCTGCAGAGGTGTTCCAGTGAGTAACAGCCGATTTGTGGTCTTAAATTCCCGCACTATTTCTGACAGCTGAAAGAGTCAAATTCCATCGAGACAACATTTTGAATATGGGTCAGTCTCAAATAAAGGCAAAATTCTCACATGGAAATAACAAATTACCTTAGATTTTTCATTTTTGATCCTATGAGCTTCATCTATAACCAAGTATCTCCAGTTAAATTTTTTGAACACAGACTTCTCCTTAATAAGCATCTCGTAAGATGTCACACACACATCCCATTCTCCTGGTAATAAAACATCCCGGACAAAAGCAGCCTGTATAGCAAGAGAAAGAAAATTCACCACTCAGGAATCAATTAGACACTTATTTATAAAGTAATAAAACACATAAAAAAGGGAGTGAGAATAATTCTAGTGGTATTATGTAAAATTTAGAACTAGTTCTGTCACCACTAAAATAACTTCATTGATCATTTATGTGACAGGTTAAAAAAAAAAAAGGAGAGAGAGAAAAGATAAGGTCAACCAGCCCAAAACTTCATAGCCGGTGGCTCACATCTGTAATACTAGAATGATTAGGCAACTGAACTTCAAAAAAAAAGCAAGTTGATAACTTAGAATACCCTAAGTATCTATAAAAGGAGAAAAGACATAGAAAAGTATAGAAGCATCAGATAGCTAACTGAAGGGAAAACAAAAATCATTTATAATACACTGTGCATAACTGCAAGTCTGAACTCTATATTAAATGTTTATTTCTATATCTTCTTTCTAAAAGAGTATCCTAACAGACCATCAAATTACCAGGATATATTAATCTCAAAATCCAGCTCCTGAAAGTTCTAGTAACTTCACACATTCAAAGCCTCTTTAAAAAGGTTTTCCTTTTCTCTCCCTATTCTCCCACCCCAAGTCCCAATTCCAATTCCTTTAATATCCCAAGTACAATGAAATACTATAAACTTACTCTTTGTTCTTTATCTCCTATCAAACAAACAGACCTAAGTGTTGGTACCCATCTCTTGAATTCACTCATCCAGTTGTGTAATGTAGACTTAGGAACCAAAACCATATGAGGACCAGGAATGTTTCTATAGTGTTTCATGTAGCCAAGCAGAGAAATGGTTTGAAGAGTCTTCCCCAGACCCTAAAAATTCAGCACATACATAAAGCAAAGAAAGACACAAAAAGTATTTCATATTAATACCTCCATAAATACATACATATGCATATGGACATTGAAAAGAAATGTTGTGTTTAGTGGCTATAACATATGTCACGAAGCTAACAGACAGGAAAGCTGCCAAATGCTGTCACCTAATCCTCCAAGTCTATGATCATCACCACCGAAGGCCCAGAAAAGTGTGTCATTCCCAAGGAGCTTAGCAGACCTAGAACTAAAACACAGTTCTTCTGATTTCATACATCATCCCAACAACAAATTGCTTTACCATTGTAGAGATAAGGAACCTTTTTCCACCTTAATCATGTAACTAGTAAGTATTAAACAGGAGACTGTTTTATGAAACAAACCTGGAAAGCATTCACATTTATAGATTATACACAACCAATGGCCCACTTGTTTCTCTTTCAACAAAAGAGCAGAGAGAGAGAGTCAAACTATTGTAGTACTAAAGTAAAACAAAGCCAGGTACTACTGGTGGCTTACGTCTGTTATCCTAGATACTCAGAAGGCTAAGCTCTAAGGACTGCTGTGAAAAACTAGCCTGACAGACTAATCTAAAATATGCAAAATGTGTTATTTTAAAGCCTTTTCTCTGACTGAAGGACTAAGACTGATCAATAGGCATTGAACACTCCAGGTTTATAGTTCTAGCGATTTAGGAGGCTGAGATCTGAAGATAACAGTTTAAAGCCAAACCAGTCAGGAAAGTCTGAGAGACACTTATATCAATTAACCATGAGAAGTCAAAGTGTAGCTGTGGCTCTAGTGATAAGAGTGCTAGCCTTGAGTACAAAAGCTGAGACAGCGTCTGGCCTGAATTCAAGTCCCAGGGCCAGCATACATTAAAAAAAAGTGTTATACATGTATTATACACATAAAATGTTGAATTATACAACTATGTAAAGGTTTTTCTAAAACTTTAATCTCATAGATAATTCTTCACAAGTGAAGCTCATTTATGAAAATAAAGCAAGCTGTTCATAGTGGTTTGAAGGAAAATTAGTTATCAGCCCTAGACTATAATTTACAAAACTGTGAATCTTCTACAAACTTTATAAACAATATCTTTATGAAATATGGCCTTGAAAGAAACACTAATGAACACATACCATTTCATCTGCAAGGATACCATTGATGCCGTTCTCATACAAAGAAATAAGCCAATTCAATCCTCGGACCTGATAATCTCTTAGTTTACCCCATTTGACATCTAAGAACAAAAGAAAAACCATAATGCAGATTTTAGGTTTAACTAGAGGCCCATGTGTTTACTAACATTACTTTCACTTCAGGAAATTCTGTCATTAGAGGAAGTTTTCACAGGTAGATGATAAGGTCTGGAACAGAATAGCAGCAGATGGACAGGCAAGGAAGATAGCCAAGACAGCTTGTGCAGACAAATTGGAGAGACTCTGGTCTCCAACTAACTGGCAAAAAATTGGAACTGGCTGGGTGCTAGTGGGTCATGACTATAATTCTAGCTACTTAAAGCTGAGATCTGAGAATCAAGGTTCGAAGACAGCCCAGAGAAGGAAAGCCCATGAGAGTCTTATCTCTTATTAACCAACAAAAAGACAGAAGTGAGATATGGCTCAAGTGATGCAGCACCAGCCTTGGGCAAAAGAGCTAAGGGATAGCTGGGAAGGTGGCTCAATGGTAGAGTGCTTGCCTTGCATTGCATGCATGAGGCCCTGGATTCGATTCCTCAGCACCACATAAGCAGAAAGGTGGCACTATGGCTCAAGTGGTAGAGTGTTAGTCTTGAGCTGAAGAGCTGAAGGACAGCGCCCAGGCCCAGAGTTCAGGCCCCATGACCGACCAAAAAACAAACAAACAAAAAAAAAAGCTAAGGGATAGAGATAGACAGATAAAATTAAGTATTAAAAATTAGCATGAAAGCAGGTCCTAGCTACTCAGGAGGATAAGCTCAAAGGATGGCAGTTCAAAAAAGTCTATGAGACTCTCATCTCCAACTAGCTGCCAAAAAATGCTGGAAGTGGAACAGTGGCAAGTGGTAGAACTGTAGCCTCTGAGCAAAAAAACCTCAGGGGCAGAGCCCAGGCCTTGAGTTCCAGCCTGGGCCAGCACCAAAGGGCTGGGGAAGGGGAATGGAGGGGAGCATAAAAAATATATTAGGAAATGAGTAAGTCAAACGCTTCATTATTTTTTGTTTGTTGTTAATTAGTTTTCTTTTTTTTTTTTTTTTTTTTTTGGGGGGGGGGGGTCTGGTCGTGAGTCCTAAACTCTGGGCCTGGGCGCTGTCCCTCAGCTCTTCAGCTCAAGGCTAGCGCTCTACCACTTGAGCTACAGCGCCACTTCGGCTTTTTTTTTGCTTTTTGCTTATGTGGTGCTGAGGAATCAAACCCAGGGCCTCAAGCATGCAAGGCAAGCGCTCTACCACTGAGCCACCTTCCCAGCCCTTAATTAGTTTTCTTTACCTGTAACAAATACATGGCAAAACAATTCCAACTTTCACATGTGCCTTAGGACAATAATAAATTAAATGGCATTTTATACACCTCTGAAATATAATACCAGTCTTCTATAATATAGTACCATCTCCATTAAAAAAAAAAAAACAAAAAACACTTCTCACAGGGCACAACGGTACATACCTATAAACTCAGTACTTGGAAGACTGAGGCTCAACAATCTCAAGGCCAACCTGGGCTACCTTGTGAGATGCTATCTCAAGAAAAGGAAAATAAAAGAACCAGGAATGAAGGTTCATGCTTGTAATCCCATCTCCTGGAAAGGCAGAGATAGGAAGATCACCATTCAAGAGTAGCACAAGGAAAAAAGTTCGTGTAACTACCTCAAAAAAAAAAAAAACAAGTTCTGTCATATGGCACATGCCTACTGTCCCAGTAACTTGGGAGGCAGAGGTAGAAGGATCGCAGCCAAAGGCTAGCCTTATGAAAAACACAAAGTCCTACACAAATATAGTAAAAAGGGGATGGGTGGCTCAAGTGGTAGTCTTTGCCCACCCAGCCTCAATGCCATGAGTCTGAATTCAAATAGATAATTCCCAAATCTGAAGCTTATTCACAACCAATACAAATATCTGAGATTACTAAAGATGCCCTTTGTAAGTTACAGCGAAGGCAAATCCAAAATATGTTTCCAAGGAAAATATTTTTTAAAACAATCAATGAGATATATTTGACATACATGAGGGAGAATCTTCAAATCGAGTGCACACATTGGTTGCTTTGGAGCTTTCTGTTAGTAATTCTTCATCCTCCTCTTGCTCCGTCCTACGGTGTCGATAGCTATAACAATGAAAAGAAAATCAAATGTGAATTTTGCCTTTTCAGTTGAACTACCAGGTACTATTCTCAACCTACTAGCCAGACAGCTAACAGATAGCCAGTGACCCTTCCCAGGCCAAGAACAGGAGCATTCCTCAGAAGCTCCTCCTCAAGGGCCTTCCTGCTTGTCATATGAGTTTCTAATCGGAATGTGTCTCAGTATTACTTCCTGTACTCTTCTGCATCTAACTCAAAATGGAGAGCCAATCTCTACTCCACCCAAATTATTCTCATAAACTTTGACATTTATATAAACTCTCCCTAACAATATAGCTTTTAAACTAAGAGGTGCAAAACTGCTGTGGCATAAATTATCATGATACCCACCAGACTAGACTTCCAAGTACCACCTTCAATTATGTATGTGGTTTAGGAGACACAACATACACCCCAGCCAGAGCCATGTTCAACCCTGATGACACCATCTACTTTTAAGAGATGCGGAATAAAACACTTAACTTCTACATTGATAATTTCTCTAAGGAACGGCAAAGCCTCTGAATCCCATGTTCTATAATATACCTGTTAAAATGCATAAAGCACTTAATGACGTAAAAGATTAAGAATACCTATTTGAAATACTTGTAACACTTATGGAGACACTATGACATTCTAGCCAGGCCAAACTACAACACATTTTAAGCTTTACTGAGAATAATTAAGTTGGGTGATTTTATTACTCACTCGCCAACTGAGAGCAAGTTCTGTTTCTCATCCTTCTTTATTCGTGGGCGCCCTGGTTTCATCTTTAAAGGTGAGGTTGGAGTCTTCTGAGCAGCAGGCTGAATGAAATGTGCAAACAACTCTGTCTGCTTTAATAAATACTCAAATCTATTTGCTCGGTCGGTTTGCTGCAACAACAACAACAAAAAGTTAACACACATTTCATCAAAACTTCAGAAACCAGTTTAAACTTGGCTCTACATGATAAACTTAGATTTTTTAAAAAATCAAGCAATTAAAACCTGCAACATAAGTGGGACTCAAAAGCACATTGCCAAATGACAAGCACTAAATACAACTGACTGCTGTAGGAGTCTACTAACTGTATATGAAATGCTAACTTATGATGAAAACAGATTCGAATTGACATGAGCTAGAACCAGGAATGACAGCAAAGGGGCAGGAATAAACTCTAAGATAATGAAAACTGCATTATCTTGGTTGTACTAGTGTGTAAATGACTCCGTTTACAAGCCAAAACTCGTCAAATTGCAAACCTAAAACTTTACGTAAATTATCCTTTGAGATACCTGGTGAGGAAAATGTTACAGCATGAAGACATTGAGCAGGTATGGATGGGTAATGCTTGTAATTCTAGCTACTATGAAAATGTTACAACTTTAAAAGACATTGAGTTAGGCGTGTGTAACTCACACCCCCGGTAAACCTAGCTACTGATATTTGAGGGGTGTGGCTCAAAGTCTGCTTGGGCCAGAAAAGTCTGAGACTCTTATTTCTAATTAAGCACCAAAAAAAAAAAAGTGATAAAGTACTAGCCTTGAGCAAAAAAGCTAAGGAACTACACCCAGGGCCTGAATTCAAGCTCCAGGACCTGCATAGCACAAAGGAATAATGAAGCAGGGCGCCAGAGGTTTATGCCTATAAATCCTAGCTACTCAGGAGGAGATCTGAAGATCTAAAGATATAAGTTTGAAGCCAGACCAGACAAAATAGTTTGTGAGATTCTTATTTCCAATTAACCAGCACAAAGCCAGAATTGGAGATGTGCTTCAAGTGATAGAAATACTTGCTTTCCAACAGTGAAGCTGAGTTCAAATCCCAGTACCACTAAAAAGTACGAAGTACCGGCATAGACGCCTTGGGCATATATTAAGGGGAACTTCCCATCATTGAGTTAACAATAAGTATATGCATTCATTAGTTAGATGCATTCATTAGTTAATGGCCTGTAGATCCATCACTTGCAGTAGAAAATTAACTTAGATTTACTTTTAAACTGTAATCACTTTAATGTTCATTCTAAAAAACAGAGCTGCAAATGTTTTTCTTTTTCTTTTTTTTTTTTTTGGGTCCGGTTGTGGGGCCTGAACTCTGGGCCTGGGCGCTGTCCCTCAGCTCTTCAGCTCAAGGCTAGCGCGCTCTACCACTTGAGCCACAGCGCCACTTCCGGCTTCTTTCTTTTTGCTTATGTGGTGCTGAGGAATCGAACCCAGGGCCTCAGGCATGCAAGGCAAGCGCTCTACCACTGAGCCATCTTCCCAGCCCCAAATGTTTTTCCTTTAAATAAATCTGATTGTAAGAGGAAGCATTTGTATAACAGGTAGAAGAATTCCTGTTAACAATCATTTGTATCTTAAACTGTACTGGAATATGTTTATATACATCATCTTTGTATGTCCACTTATATGTGTACACAAAATATATATAACACAATTTTAAGATTTTGAAGCTATTTAAGAGAATCAAAAATATCTGTTGATTTTGAAGTGAAGGACAAGGTAAAAATCACATTCCATGCCAGATACTGAAGATTGGTATACTGTTCCTACTTTCTGCCACATGCCATGTAACAATGTTACTAATGAACACATTGTAACTTTCTTTCCCTCAAGGCTATTTCCTTTACCACAGGAGCCATAGCTCTACTTCTGGCTTTTTCTGGGTTAGCTGGAGATAAAAAGTCTCAGCCTATCCTGCCCAGGCCTGCAAACCTAAGTAGCTAGGAATATAGGAGTAAGCCACCAAGGCCTGGCACATTTTAACTTAAGAGTTCAATGTGATTGAGTTCACACCAAGTAATCAACAGAGCCTGATACATAGCAAGGATTCACTGTCAGCCATTACTGTTATCCTTAAAAATAAATTTAAATCCAAAGTGCTTTGTAGACAATGGCTGTCAAATCATAAAGTTCCCTAGAAGGAACAAGGTGTAAACCGGGTATGTAAAGGAGTAAAGATCTATTCGCAGGATGGGCAGGCTGCTGAGCTCACAAATCACCCAACTACCATGTAAGAGTGTGATTCCCCAGCACCTCAAGAAGTAAAAGGAAAGAATGCTGTGGACAAGGAGCACAACACTTACTCCTTAAAACCAGTAGAATGCAATGTCAGATGGGCACTGTCCCTGAGCTCCTTTTGCTGAAGACTAGCACTCTGTCACTTGAGCAACAGTGCCACTTCCGGCTTTTTGTTTATGTGGTACTGAGGAATTGAACCCAGGGCTTCATGCATGCTAGGCAAGCACTCTACCACTGAGCCACCTTCCCAGCCCTTTACCTCACTCTCGATGTTACAATCTTAACGATAAGCTAATTAGATAATTATCACATTATTTCTATTTACTTTATGCAAATAAGAGAAACTGTTAACACCCCATGTTATACATATTTTAGATAACTATGTTCTGTTAACACTAAACAAGATATTTTCTGCATTTAATTTTTTTAAAAGTTTTTAATAAGACTATTCAACTGTCTACAACATACCATTTTCTCTTCATAGGTAGGATCTGGTTCTTGGATTTCTTTCTGCTTTCCAGGTGAGGCGTCATCAAATACTTCCTGATAGGAAAGAAAAACCATGGAATGATTCAAGATTTCTGTCCAAAACACATTCTAGATAATGTTATTGCGGCCTCAACTGCCTTAGATATTTAAATGCCTAACCAGACAGGAAACCTGTTGCCTGAAAACTGCAAGAATAACAACACAGATGTAAACTGTAAAACTACTGCTGAGATTAAAACAAAATGTAATAATCAACATCACCCTAAAATGTCTTTCAGTGTAAGTCATATGGGCAAATCTGCACCTTTTCTAACAGTGCCTAAATCTACTGTGCTGGTATACAAATGCACACATAGAAGGCAGCATTAGTCACTGACTTTCATTATCCAGCCTGTTACATAAGCTCTATCATCTAAATCAAGTACTCTTAACAATCGCCTGTTTCCTAAATTAGTAATATATCCTATCCTTTCTTGTGTGTGTGTGTGTGTATGTGTGCGTGCGCGTGCGCTAGTCCTGGCTCTTGACTCAGGATCTGAGTGCTATCCTGGAGCTTTTGTGCTCAAAGCTGTTGCTCTATCATTGAGCTACAGCTCCAATTCTGTTTTTTTGGTGGTTAACTGGAGATAAGAGTCTCATAGACTTTCCTGTCTGGGCTGGCTTCAAACCAGGATCCTCACATCTTAGCCTCCTGAATAGATAGGTTCACAGGCATGAGCCACCACCATCTGACAATAAATGCTATCCTTGTAGATGATTCATTCCGACATTCAACTGCCACAAACAGCAAAAATCAACAACAGCAGGCAATACAAAACTTTAAAAGTTGACAAAATATAACTTTTTATCAATCCTGTACAATACTGTGATTATAACCAAACAGAAAGTGATTAAAACATTGAGGGGCAGAGTCTGCTGTGTTACTAATATGAGGGTTCAAATGACCTCATTCCATGTTGAACTTCATTGCTAAGACTTGTAAGCCCCTGTGACTGTTGCGCTCATCATAAACCCCTCATATCTACATGTGAAAGTGACAAAGCCAAACTATCTTGTCCAGTTTACGGAGTTCCTTCTGGAATACAACAGATATACCCTACCTAAGCAAAATGTCACTTGTTCTTCTGTGGTCTAGTGTACAATTATTGCCACTTAGTATGCCTATCTACCAATGTCATTAATAGTGAGAAATGAGAACGAATGAAAATAGGCTGAACACTCTCAAAAACAAAATAAGAAATGAGATTTCTCCCTTTACCTAGTACTGATGGAAGAAAAAAATTTAATGAAATACACTGAAAAGCATTACTTCGGCCTAAATGCGCTTTATCATGAAAAAATTCACAAATGCTCAATTTACTTCTGACTTTGAAAAAATTCACTTTTAAGTCCTACTTTCAAACAAGAAAAGGGCATTTTAAAATCTTTTTTTCCAATTGCAAAACAGATTAAGATCATCAGATATTATGCCTGTGTGCTCAAACCTAGCTTTTAGTAAATCTCAGTGATCCTCAATTAAGGAAATAAAAACAAACTGAGGGTAAATTGTTTTAAAAGAAACACAAATCCATCAAAAAAGGGGGAAAACAAGGGTGAGTGGTGAATGAATTGATAAAAGATAAAATATTGATATGCCTACACTACCTAGGCAAAAATACTGTCACTCTTCAATAAATGAGATTACCAGGTATCTATTTTTAAAGTATTAGCCAAGACAAAGATGTGGAGGGAAAGGCTCATTTTTTGGAGCCAAAGCTGAGTTCTATCACAGGTTCTACTTATCCTCATCTGGCAAATACCTATTTTGAATTTTAAAAACAGCAACTCAAAGCCACAGCATTCTGTGTGCGCTTTAAAGGACTGTCTTTTCTGACATTTAAAACAGGCCTCGGGTGTGAGGTCATTCAAAATCTGAACTGCAAACTCTCTGAAAAGCTCCAAAGAAATTTTGCATTTGCACACACTTGCTTTTAACCTCCCAGGTTTTCGCACCCCTTAAATCACAAAGCTGTAATCCCAAAGAGACTACCTAACCGAAAGAACTATTTAATACCTTTAAGGGAAAGAAAATGCAACCATGAATACATCTAAGTTCAAACAAATCTAGATCGCTGAAAACTGCCAACTGCCTCTGGGAATGCACTAGGGCCCCCCGGACCTCTCCTCACCACCAGAAGTTATTTCAAAGACGGGCAATGTTACTTCACCCAGGAGCCCCGAGAAGATTGCGCCAGGGCCTCGGTGGTAACCTGTCCTTACCATTTCCTTCCAGTGTCAATTCTGCACTACGGCAGTATTAACTTCTCATTCTGAGGATGCAAAGCCCATAGATCTTCGGACTGGGACGACAAAAAAAAAAAAAAAAAAAAAACCCTCAAAAAGGGTCGAATGCTGAGAATAAAAGGTGGAAGCAAGCACTTTGTGCCCAGACGGTGCTAGGCCTGGGAACACACCCGAGGCACCAGCCTGGCACCCCCGACGGCAGGCAGCAGCCCCGTCACCAAAGGGCTAAGCGGACAGCGGTGCCCATTTCTTTCAAAACAAAAGAAGATAAGCTCTCAGGTCCCCCGAAGACAAAAACTGCGTGGCACGGACAGCCCACTCACCACCCCCGGTTCTCCGACACATGCTCCCGCCCTCCACCCCCCAGACTAGCGGGGGATCCCAGACAGCTGCTGTCAGGGCCGCCGGCCTCCCGGGGGAGCAGGGCGCGGGCGGGGCCTCCTCTCCCCGGGCGGCGGCAGCTGCGCCCCGACGATCCCCGGCGCGCACGGGGCCGTCCAGCTCTCGCCATTGTTTGTACCCAGAAACGGAGAGTTATCGCCCCCCGCCAGGAGCGGGACGGGAGGAAGACCGGGAGGCGCGGGGTGCTCCGCGCAGAGGGGGCCGGCCTGGCCCGCCGGGGCCACCGACCCGGCCCCGAGGTGGGGGGGGCATCTCCCTCTCCTCCCTCTCCCATCCCGGCCCCAACTTTTGCTCTCCACCTAAAACCCCGCATCGGGGACGAGAGGGAACTGTGGGGAGTGGGCGCGGGACGGAAGAAGTAACCAAGGGCATCTGGTGGATAAAAAGCACTCCAACATGTGGCCAGATGTGTCTGGGGAAGAGATGGGGGGGGGGACAGAGAGAGGAACGCGAAGCGCCCGAAGCGCCCGGCGCCGGCTCGCGTGGTGGGTTAAGCTCGAGAGCCCAGGAAGGGAAGCATCTCCTGGGGGTCCAACGGGTCCCAAGCAGGACGAGGAACGGCTCTGCGTCCGAACCCCAGACGCGGGGGCGAGGGGAGCGGGGAGCGGGGCCGGGGGGGCGGCGCGGCCCCCGGGCGGCCTCTCCCGCGCCACCAGCCGCGCTCACCTCCATGTCGGCGTCCGCGGGGCCCGCGGCGGCGGCGGCCGCCTGGGCCGCGGCGCCCTCGGGGCCGCCTTTGTTGCCGCCGGTGGTCCCGCCGCTGGCGGCCGAGGCTGCGGGCTTGGCGGGCGCGCTCTCGGGAGGCGGGGGTGGCGGAGGCTCGGCCGCGGACGACATGATGTTCCTTCTGCGTCACCCGCTGCAGCCGGAGGCCGGGCCGGCGGCGATGGAGGCGGCCTAGGCCCGGGCGGCGACGTCGCCGCGGCCCGGTGGGGGCGCGAGACCCACCCGGATGCTCGCCCGCGCCGCGATCCGCGATCCGCGATCCGCGACGGGCCTGGCCCGGCCCGGCGGCCCCTGGGGTGGTCCGCCTGCTCCGCGGGACTCGGGGTTCGGCCGGCGCTTACCCCCACGGCGGGAACCACGTCGAGAGGGTGGGCGGGGCCAGCAGGGTCACCGAGGTCAGAGAGGGCGGGCTGGCCTAGAGGAGGGCGGAGGGCTGCGGGAAGGGGGACCGACACTCGCGGTGCCGCGGCGGGGAGCGCGCTCGCGTCGTCGTCTTCCTCTCGCAGAAATCATCTATCTCCCAGCTCCCAGGACAACCACCTACGCCACGGGCGCCCAACCATCGCGAGAGTGCTGCCGGCCTCGCCGGCCGGGTCCTAAGTGCGCGTGCGCACGTCCCGCCTCTCCTCCTTGGCCACGCCTCCTCCCGGGCTTTAGCGGGCTCCGGAGCGGAGAGTGGGCGGGGACTTGGGGGCGGAGCTCGTCTACGTAGTTCGGACCGTCGGCTCCTGGGCCTGACGTCAGCGTCGCCTTCCGCGCGTTCTCGGCGGCGCCGCGGCCTGGCCCGCCGCTGGTTGTGGGCCCGGCTTCCGTCGTCGGGACTTGGCGGCAACTCTGCTCAGGTTTGGCGCTGCCGAAGCCGGAGGCCTGGGCCGTCCGGCGCACTTGTGCCGCCGTCGCCGGGAGGCGTGACGTGTGTCTGCCCCGGTGACGTCTCGCCTGGCGGCGGCCGGCTCGGGGCGGGGACGTGTGGGTGCGCGGGGCTCGGCGCGGTCCCCGCGGCCTGCCGTTCCCGGGGTCCCGGGTGAGCGTCCGCTCGGGGGCTGCGGGCCGAGCGCTCGTCGTCCCGGGGCGGCGTGAGGACCGGGGCGGGGGGGAGGCACGGGGGTCCTCCGGGCTCGGGCCGCTGCCGCGCGGCGTCGCGGCCGTGAGCACCGCGGGGCGCCGGGGGCCCCGCCCGTCATCCCACCTACCCGGCAGCCTGAGACCGGAGGCTCGCGGTTCCAAGCCAGCCCGGGGCAGCCTGGAGACTCCCATCTCCAGCTCAACTACCAAAAAGCTGGCCGCGGGGCGGCGGCTCGCGACCCTCCGCAGCCTGGACCTAGTCCCCAAGATGAAACAATAAAACTTAAAAGTCCTGGCTGGCTTTTGATTACAGTTGGTATAGACGCCCCCTTTTACACGCATGCGCGCACACATACACACCACAGTAAATAAGAGCGCACACGGAGGCTGAGGCCTGAGGATTGACCTCCTGGCCCGGGAGACTCTTAACCTCTGGTTAACCATCAAAAATAGCTTAGGAAGTGCGAGTGTGACTCCAGGGGTAGCACGCTGACCTTGAGCACAAAAGCACATGGACAGTGCCCAAGGCCTGAGATCAAACCTGAAGGCCAGCAGAAAAAAAAAAAAAATCCCGGGCTGGGAAGGTGGCTCAAGTGGTAGAGCGCTAGCCTTGAGCTGAAGACCTGAGGGACAACACCCAGGCCCAGAGTTCAAGCCCCACGACCGGACCCCCCCATCCAACCCCCCCCCCCAAAAATGAAAAAAAATCCCCAGATTCTCTTACCTCAGTCACAATGACTGTCATCAAGAAAACTGTTGGTGAGGATGTGGGAAGAAAAGAGCCCCTGTGTGCTGACAGTGAGACTGTAAGCTGATGCAGCCAAAAGAGGATGTAACTTGACTTATAGTAGAGATACCTGTACACAAGTATGTGAACCATCTTAATCGCCCATTAACTAACAGATGAATCAAGAAGATGTGATTTGTGTACACAGTGGACTATTCTGCCATCAAGAAGAAGGAAATGTCATTTGCATCCTTTTTTTCATGAAAATGGATGGATTATGTAATGCAAGAAAGCTCACCTCAGCGGGGCTGGGAAGGTGGCTCAGTGGTAGAGCGCTTGCCTTGCATGCATGAGGCCCTGGGTTCGATTCCTCAGTACCACATAAGCAAAAAGAAAAAAGCCGGAAGTGGTGTTGTGGCTCAAGTGGTAGAGCGCTAGCCTTGAGCTGAAGAGCTGAGGGACAGCGCCCAGGCCTAGAGTTCAGGTCCCATGACCAGACCCCCTCCCCCCAAAAAAAGAAAAGAAAGCTCACCTCAGAAAGACCAAAAACATGTTTTCCTTCATACTCAGAAAGTAGGTCCATAAATACAAACAGGAACGCATGAGCCCAAGTGGAGCATTATTTGGGGGACCTTGAATGGAGATAAAGGAGGTGATGTGGGGTAAGGAGGATCAAAGTACTCATGTCTAATCCTAGCTACTCAGGAGGCTGAGACCAGGATCACGGTTCAAAGCCGGTCCAGGCAGGAAAGTCCATGAGACTCTTTTCTCCAATAAACAACTCAGAAAAACAGAAGCGGTGCTGTGGCTCATGAGCTGAAGAGCTGAGGGACAGTGCCTGGGTCCAGAGTTAAGCCTCATGACCGACAAAAAAAAAAAAACAACCATTCTTTCGTATAATAAAAAGGAAAAATGAGGGGGCTCGGAAGATAGCTCAGCTGTTAAGTGCTTGCCTCCCATGCACAAGACCCTGGGTTCAATTCCTCAACACCACATAAGCAGAAAAGACTGGAGTGGCACTGTGGCTCAAGTGATAGAGTGCTAGCTTGAGCTGAAGAGCTCAGGAACAGCGCCCAAGCCCACTGTTCAAGCCCCATGACTGACAAAAAATAAAGGAAAAATGCAACTTGCCATTCACTTTGGGAAGTCAAGCTGTGTCAGCTTGTAGCTCATGGGAGTAGAGGTTTTCTTTTTCTTTCTTTCTTTCTTTCTTTCTTTCTTTTTCTTTCTTTCTTTCTTTCTTTCTTTCTTTCTTTCTTTCTTTCTTTCTTTCTTTCTTTCTTTCTTTCTTTCTTTCTTTCTTTCTTTTTTGCTTGACTTTGCTCAAGATTGGTGTTCCTTCACTGGAGACTCAAGAACAAATAAAGGCTGTTACTCAAAGCTTATTCTACCAGCAGTCAGCCACCATCCCCAGCTCTTCTTGGCAAGTAGGAAAGAGAGCAGCTTTCTGGTGGCATGCCCTTGTGACAGGTTGTTGGCTTGTTAGAGCTGGAGGTGGACATGGAGAAGCAGGACCTTTTGGGTGACTGGTCTAGGAGCATATAAGGCCTTCTGGCTGGCCCTGAGCTGGCAGTAAAAGCAAAAGTAAGTAGATGGGGTGAGCATGTTTCGAACACTTAATTACTTCTGGGGCTGTGGCTTGGCTTCTGCTAAAACCTCAAATTCCTATGTTGAAATTGTGACCTGGAAAGTGATCATTTCGGGAGGGGAAGCTTTGGCAGGTGATTAGGTTGAAAGGGCTGTGCAGAATGGGATGAAGGTTCTTATAAAATAGGCCATGTGAGGATGCCACGAGAAGGCCTTCTTTCTAAACAAGGAAGTGGGTCATCACCAGATACCAACTATGCGGGCATTTTATGCTGGCAAGAGTGACTTCACTTTGGTCTGTCAGATCTAGTACAGAAACTCAGCCCAAATCAATGGCTTCTGATAAACTTTAACACTACATTTACATATTTTAAGTAAAGTTTACTTTGCTAGGCTAAGGAGGAGAAGCTAAGCACACAGCTGTGTTTGCCATATTTAAGTCTTGGAGGAGAAAAGATGGTTAGGGCTAATATTAGCTTCAGAGCCGGCCCTGTGATTAAGGTTTCTGTGGGCATAGAATGGGAAAGGGAGGAGCTAGGACTCTCGGTAGCTCCTGGCTTTAGTGAAAGATCGAAGGTTGGTAAGGGACTGGTTTTAAAGGAGGGAAAAGCCACTGCATTTGCCAACAAGCGACGAGCAGTAGAGATCAGTGCTCAGCCAGCAGAAGCCGGAGGGACAGGCCCGGGGCAAATTCTTACCTAGTCCGGGAGGCTGGAGCTCCAGACTGGCAGCATGGTCTATTTCCCAGTTCCAAGCCATAAAATTAGAGAGGATAAGAAATAGAAGCTGTGTTCCTGGCTCTCTGATAGGGAAAAATTTAAATAAAGAGGAATGAAAAGGGGAAAATAGAAGAGAAACAATTGGAAACCAAGCCCTTCCAGAGCAGAGTGAAGAGAGGGGAGTCCCTCCAGAAGACAAGCTGCTAGTAGTGAACTGACTGCTGGAGGGCAAGAAAACTTGGAGGTTGGGGCCTGAAGCCTTCTGGGCTGTGTGGGACACACGAATTTCCTCCCTCTCGCTGAATTTCCTAAGCCAGTACCCGAATGAGTGGGAATCTTAGTTTCACTCACACCCCTGGCAGTTCCAGATCTCAGTAACACCAGTACTCCATTTCAAAGGAAAGGCGAAAGTCATATAGGCCTTGTCCAAATTTTAATAGAGCTCTGCCTCACATTTGAGGATGATAATATTGGACATCATTCACCTTGTTTCTTTCCAGAGTCACCACTGAATTTTGTTGCAGGGAGGTTTTTGTTTATCATTTCATCCTGCCATCTGCAAGCTGTGTAGACTGCAATTCCCTGCCTGTAATTCCCTGCCTGTTTCCTCCCTAACCTGTTATTTTAGTCAGTCTCTGCCCTTTCGAATGGGCAAAGTATTCTCATAAAAGAAAGGTCCATTAAGGACACACAGAAGGAAGGTCCCAAAGGCCAGGTCTAGTTTACTGATTCCTTGATCTTGAATTTCCCAACAACTCTGAGCAATAAATTTCTGCTGTTTATAAATTATCCAATCAAATGCTTTTTCTTATAACAACACAAATGGACAAAGATAAACACTTGTTTTTATTTCTCCAGTGAGTTCTGGAGAGAGATGAAAACTTCTATATAAAATGCAAGATATTGTCTATATCCTAACATCGATACCTTGACTAGTATGCTGTACCTATGACTCCCGAGTTAAGACTTAATTGAGGGCTGGGAAGGTGTTTCAGTGATAGAGTGCTTGCCTTGCATGCATGAGGCCCTGGGTTCAATTCCTCAGCACCACATAAGCAGAAAAAGCTAGAAGTGGCGCTGTGGCTCAAGTAGT